ATGATCTGTCAGCGAAAAGACAGGAAACAGCCAGCATAATGAAAGGGATGTTCTTACCCTAAGAGGTAATATCTTAATCTAACTGTATACTGTCTAAAATGAAATAAATACTATGAATACCAATTTTCATTGGTCAAAATTATCAATCCTGATAGCTTAATGTCAGAAGAAGCTTAAAAATTCGAAGAAAAGAAGTTATTTTCTAAGCTTGACCATGATACACCACTTCTTCATAATCAGCTGATTAAAAGATAGCACAGTTGGGGTTTATTCCGAGCTGATTTTGAAATTGCCAATATTTTATGACGGAGAAATTTATCAAACTAACGTCCTTTATCGCCTCCATTTTACAGTGGAAAGTAGTTCACACCTCATCGCTAGACAACTCACATGGAAATAGGAATAGGGTCTAAGGGTTCAAACGTTTTCACCCTACAGCCTCACAATCATTGGCTAAAATTAAGCCCTGAAGCTCACGGCTAACTTCGACTGCTGGACGTTCACCTGGGACGCAGAAGTGATTAGACCGGCACTGCTAAACACACGCATGAACGTTTGAAACTGAAATGAGATTTCGGCTTCAGCTGTAACTCTGTGTCAGTTTCTCCTTGGAACATATAAACTTTCAGGTACAGCATAAAACCATTCGATCTTCATTTGTGAATCAGATTCGTAAGCGTGCATCGAAAAAGTGGCTCACCAGAAGCCAACACCTAGTCTACTTCAGAAACCTGTTTGTTTGTTGATATTCAAAAACTTTGACTGCAACACTGCTAATGCGGAACTTTTCTGTTGCAAGCAATTTACTACACTCTTTAAGCGTGAAAGTTGTACAGCAGAAAATTACTTTTCTTTTCTAATTTCACGGAAGTTGGTGGGCCTGAATATGTTGTATCTGGGAAAACATATACTAGCTGAAAGTAAAAGGTTTACACTTGGAGTTATTGAACCAAAACAATGAGGTAAAAGAACTGAAAATAAATATTTATGTTGGCACTTTTATGAAGATACGAAGCTATTATTGGCTAAAAGTTCATTTCAAAAGATCTGATCATCTGCAGTTTTCCAGATGATTTATATAATTGACTAAATGCATGATCTTTC